CTTACCCACACAGTATTTTTTTTCCAGAGGGTAAGTAATTTGTGTACCAAATTTGGTTGAAATTGCTCAAGGCGTTCCAGAGTTATACTGGAACACACACCCACACCCTGAGAGATGTCTTACCCACAGAGTATTTTTTTTCCAGAGGGTAAGTAATTTGTGTACCAAATTTGGTTGAAATTGCTTGAGTCGTTCCAGAGTTGAACAGGATGGATGGATGGATGGATATAGATAGATACATACATACATACATACTCTTTTTTATTATATATACGTGTGTGTGTGTGTCTGTATAAAGACAGACTACCAAGAAGATAGAATAGATAAAAGATAAACTAGAGAAATAACAGTATTCTATACAGTAAGCATAAAGTATTTACTGTTTAAATTATGTAAACAACTGCCTAATTTATTTGTGTTATTTGCTTTTTTGATCGTCTCAAAAAGAGTATCCCACACTGAGGTGATTTCAGTCTGTACATTTTAAAATGTACAAGGAGATGCCTGGCAGGTTGTGGTGCTTGAAAAAACCCCAGGCTTGTAGTCAGTAGTTGAGGACAGAAAGCAGATGTAGGAATGCTCAGTAAAACAAGAGATATATTTCATACTTCTGTCATATTTGGTTAGCACTTATTTTTAATTTCCAGTTTAATACACAATATGAAGAGTTATAGTATAATGCCAAGCTGAGCATACAATGCTTATTTTTTTCTGTTGGACTCCAGAAAGCAGTACTTGTGTGTTCTGGGTAAAATAAACTGAATCAGAGTCTTGGTTCATTTCTCCTTGTTTTTGATCTCAGGCTGTTTACAGCTACACATCTGTTCCGAAGGCAATCAGTTTTCTGCATGTTCTTTCCGTTCATTATCTATTTCTATCCACACCCAGTAGAGCAGATTGCCTTTGTTTTGATGACTAAATGTTTTAGCAACTAGAACTTCCGCAAAATCTCTGAAAAAGCAACAGCCAACATGTTTTTTTTTTGTTTAATGGTGTGTGTGGTTTTTGCTTGGCAACAGGTCTTGCTATTGCGTGAATTTATTTCATTTGATCTATTTCTTGTCCTTAAACAGGAATTTGACTTTTCTTTCAGTGAACAGATTAGCCAATACCCTGTACACAGAGCTTCCTTTTTTCATTCACTCTGGAGTAAATAATGTGAAAGGCTTTGTAGCTTTGTAGGGACACATAACTAAGGCGGAATACCAACAAATAGCCCAAAATGGTAAAGATGAGGTCAGGAAAACTAAGGCTCAGAATGAACTAAACTTGCAACAAATGTCAAATGTATATTTAAACAGTTTCTTTCAACATATTAAAAAAAAGTCAAGGAAACAATCAGTCCACTAATGAGGGAAGGAGGCAAGGAAGTAAAGGGCAGTAGAAAGAGCATGGATCTTCTTAATTCATTCTTTGCATGTGTCTTCACGCAAAAAGATAATACAGGCCAATTTACGAAAAACATAACCCTAAAATACAGACTAGGAATACAAATTAAAGTAAGAAAATGGTAAGAGAACACCTGCCTACTCTAGAGGAGTTCAACCACTGATGAATTACATCCCAGAGTTCTGTATAATTTTGTATTAATTTTGTATTAATTTTATTTTTAAAACATTTGATGAATTTATTAAGCAATTAATATTAGAGATGAAATTTAGATGCACGTTTATTTCAGTGAGCAAGTAAATGTGTTAAACCGTTTAGAAATGACATGCTTATCTTTCTTAAGAACACAAATGAAGATTGTAGCAAATGGAGGTAAATCCAATTCCAAGATATTCAGTCAATAAAAGAATTAAAGAAAATACTTTTATTCAAACCAGGGCAGAGATATCTGAAAGCCAAAGACTCAGGAAAACCAAATGCTAAAATTCCAATCAGAAAAGGCTTCACTTTGTTTTGTCTTTTGTATTTATTTTACAAGAATGGGAGCATCTCTTCACTGAATATTCTTGGTTGTTTAAATTAGAAAAACTGTACTGAATAGGAAAGAATTGTTTCTTTAATTCAGCACAATAGTTCTCATCTTAACTGGAGCCAACTACTTTCATATAATCTGGTTAACTTAAGTAAAATGAAAATGTCAGTAAATCTCATAATTGATGAATTGACATTTGGGCCATTTTGGATCCCATTGCTATTGCCACACACTTTTCAGTTTCAATAAAGTCAAAGCCTTACCAGAGGCCTAGACTTGCTAGTTTGCAGATATAGGCATGGAAAAATATATTGACAAAAAGGAGCTAAAGATGCTAAGGGAGAGTCAGGTAAACTTGTTTTCTACTGCAAATTGTACCCACTGTAAAATATATAGTATATATTGTACAGTAAATTAAACACCTTACTAATTCTGAGTAAAAATGAACAACCAGCCTCTCTCAGAATCTTTTAACACAAATATATAGCAATGTTCTGCAGATTATGTATTTGGTTTCTGATTGTACAATCAGCCAATTGCTCCCCAATGGATTTCAGTTGGAATTGCAAATTTATAAATTCAAAATGCAAAAGTTTCACTGGATGCAATAAATATTCATTTCACATTTATATGTTAGTTCACTAAAAATAATTCTGAAGACACTTTTGGATATCCTTTCTTAAAGAACATTAGTAAATACGGCATTTCCCAGGTGTTTATGTTCATTTTCTGATTCATTGGTATCTGCAAGCCTCTTTTGATTTAAGATTTTATTTGTAAGTTAGAAAAATAAGAATAAAAGGAAAGATCTAAAACAGGCTTTGATTTTTTTTAAAATTTCCACACTTTCCTATGATGCCCCCCAATGCTATTCTTTCCTAGTTTCCACATGATTATATTTCTCAACTTATGTTAAACAGGAAACCCTCCATTCAATTATCATCCCCCTCTCCCCTTTTGAAGTCTTCATTATATTCACTTCTAGTGAAAAAACACAGTGTGGTTATTCTTCTGAACTCCGCCTGGAATCAGCAAAATTCATCATTCCACTCCTAAGAAGGAAAAGATAACATATAAGCAAAACCAAAAAGAACAAGACTTAGTCTACAATGCTACATGTAGCTCTCTAATCATGAAGCCTATTAATAGAAAAAGTGGGACTCACCTAAGTTTTATTTGAAAGTGTAGCTTTCAGCACCTCCACGCCCAAATCCTTTAAAAAAAAAAACAACTAATGTAAGCATTAAAGATTTTAATGGCACTTCTCCATTTTTCAGTCCAAGACAAGTGCTTGTCCTTCATTTTGAGATAAGGTATTTGGAGACCTAAGGTTTCTGTGTTACCTGATGAACCAGAAAAAAAAATCAGAAAAAAATGCTAAATGCTAGCTAAGATCTGTTAGCTCATGTTTCTTTCTTCTATACCAGGTCTGCCAAACCCGCGGCCTGCAGGCCAGATGTGTCACGCACTGGCTACGCCCATGCCCAGATTAGCGAAGGGGGGGGGGAAGTTGTGATACATCATGTGATGATACCGTGACAACACAAGTTTGACACCCCTGTTCTATACCATTCAGATATAGAGAAAAATATTTTTTTGTTTTTGGTAGGGTTATCTATAACCTGCTCTCTTCTGTAGTGATGACATAAGAATGTATTTAAATAGACTGACGCTTCCGGTTAAATAAGACTATAACATTTATAGTTTGGCAGCAAAAATGTAACAATATCCTTAACAAATGGAAGACTTCTATGACATTGTCTTAGTGAACATGCACTGAAGATAATCTGACACCTCACATTGGAAAAATCCTACTCTGCAGAAATTTGCCACACCTTTGGTGAAATTTCCTATTAGAAACATATAGAAACATGTTGGGGAATATTATTCCCCCAATCGGTTGTAAAACATGGATTGTTATCAAAACAAGCTTTCTGTTTGGCAAGCTTAATCCTAATCTAAGATGAACAGAATACATCAGTGTTGTTAATATTTGTCTGTTTTTCAAGAACTTCAGCCAAGTAGTTGAGAAAAATATGTTTAGTATAGCAAGATTTCCAGTGTCATACCAAACCACAATTCACATTTTAACTGAACAGGGAAATAAGGGGGAAAATTACTGGGCCTTATAGGATTTGGTAGCGTTCCCTTTCCAAGGTCATTAAGTTGATTCCAATTCTTAAGAAGAAAAACAGACATACTAGAATTTTGTCCCTTCCAGCTAATCTCTCTGATTTTTCACCTCTTTAAATCTCTTAAAAAGCCTTAAAATATCAGAGGTAATTGGGCAAAGGGCGGGAATGCAAAAGATTTACAGATCTTTCCCAGACTTCAGTTATGCTACTGACCCAGGGGGAATTTAGAACAGCTGCTGGCCTAGTTTAATAATTTTTTTCCCATGGTTTAGAAAAGAAAAATTAAGAAGTCAAAAAATAGTGACCATGAAAACTGCCAGACAGGGCTTTTGAACTGCTAGAAAGCTGGAGCATTTTACAATACAACATAGGACTGCCCAGTATATAATTTAATAGCTAGTTTTTACATAAAATCCCTTATATTTTATCTATGCTATTTTTATTTGGATTTATTTATGCTATTTTTTAAATAGCAAAAGTATTCCATCTAACCAAGATTTTTTATATTTCAATCCTAATGCCGTACATAGAATTTCGGAATGAATCATCTCTCAGATATGTTACAGTGACAATGCTTCAAATGTTATGGTTGAGTTCTCAATTCAAAATTTGTTTAGAAAAACATTATGTAAGGAAACATTAGTTACAAAATATTATGTAGAAATGCATATGAAATAATACACGTATTGTTAAGCAGACTTTAACAAAACATTGGAAGTAAATGAGTCAATGGCATAGAACAAATGTACTGTTATAAACTCATTTGTGGAAATTCTACTTGACTGGCCTTCTGATCCTTACTTCAGATGAGGCACACCAACAGTGAGACATTAGAATGATGCCAGATATAAATACTATGCATTTATTAATTTTTATGTATTTATTAATTTTTATGGTGTCCATCTCATTATCATACAACTCTGGGTGGCTATCTATAATAGGCGTGTGTGTGTGTGTGTGTGTGTGTGTGTGTGTTTGTGTGTGTGTTTGTAGATAGATAGGTAGGTTAGGTAGGTACGTAGTTTATAGAATAAACTTGCTCTTACCTTTGGGTCCAAACAATGCAGCATAGCAGGGGTAGTTGCAATAAGGTTTCCCCTCATGCTGAAGAAATAAGAGAAATATCTCAAAGGCAACATAAACAAAATTATATATGATGGAGTCTATTTTAATTTTTGTTCCATTACTTTCTCCTTCTGAGAACGGAGGCAGACACAAAGTCTTGTAGCTGCCAGTTTATTTCTCCCCAAAGTTAAGCAAGCAGGTACTAGGTATTTTGCAGTGGAAACAGATTAACATTAAGAGCTATAGGCCTGCTTTTGTCCCCATAGTTCCCTCTCACTTGGACAGACATCTCAAGTATGATATCTGTTGTCCAGCTCTTCTGCATAGATTTCCCCCCCCCCAAGCATCATTGGAGAACATGTCCATTTACAGAAGAACATATTCCCAAAAGTGGTATAGGAAAAGCCTATGCAGCATTCTTTTTGTCCTTTATATGGTTTGATAGCTAAAGATAAAAACAGGTAAACATTGAAAAGAACAGTAAAACAGTTACTAAAAGAACTAAGCTATGAGACAGTACAAAACTGTTCTTCAAGCCAAGAACATACATGTCTTCATGTAGTCCACTTACCTCTGCATGGCCACCTGCACTTAAGGTCTTCTTGCATTTTTCACATTTCAAACATGGCCGGTGCCAATCTTTCCCAAGGGAGGTGACTTTTTCAGCTATGATAATATTGGGGGGGCGGGGGAGAGGAGAGGAAAGGAGAGATATTACTGTGGCTACTTTATCAAACACACAATATGCTTGCTTTTGAGCTGTTCCCTTCTATCATTGCTTTATTATTTATTTATTTATTTATTTATTTGTCTTGTATGCCGCCCACTCCCGAAGGACTCCGGGCGGCTCACAAAAGGGAAAGGGGGAAAACGACCAACATTCACAATTTCCGTGGAGGTAAATGCTTCTCAGCTCCCCCCAGCCTGCTGGAACAGCCAGGACTTGGTGGCTTTGCGGAAGGCCGGGAGGGTAGTAAGGGTCCGGATCTCAACAGGGAGCTCGTTCACATATGTGCTAGTCGTTCCCGACTATGGGTGTGTGTGTGTGTGTGTGTTCATCTCGGTTTCAAAGCCGAAGACCCAGCGCTATCCGAAGACGTCTCCGTGGTCATATGGCTGGCATGATTAAACACCGAAGGCGCACGGAACATTGTTACCTTCCCACCAAA